TTTTTTGGGCAGTGTAAAGTAGGGCTTGTTGTTTGTCATTTCTCCGATCACAAATGCAGACATGGTTTTATGTTTATGCGGCGTGATGCAACGCAATGCGTAAAAAGACAGTATAAGTCATTATAATCCATAATTATGTCCCCACTGGATGCAACGAATGCCTCGTTTATAATGGGTTTTCATGTTTTTGAATCATCGCACTGGCCTGACAGGGCATCATCACAATATGGTTAGGGGCGTAACATTTCCGTCACACGCTTGAGGTATTCGGCCAATCACAACGCACTGGATAGCTGGCCAATCACAGCACACCTCACTTTTTCAGACCGATGAGCTTTGTAAAAATCGACACGTTTCAGAAAGGTGGGGCATAGAGGAGAAACAGTAATGTACAGTATGTGGAAAATAATGTGTTTTTTTAACCTTAAACGCATAAACACATTTCATTACATCATATACACAAAATAATGTTATTTTTAGCAGCATCATATGACCCCTTTAAAAACAGGGTTTAGTTGTCTGTGTTAAGCTGGGATAGGAGAAAGAATTTTAACATTTATGCTGTAATTGTTCATGGCAATGTGATGCTTTGCTTTAAAATTCAATAATTCAGACCTACAGTTACGGTAATATGTCAATGAAAAAGGCCATACAGTTAGAATTGTGACTAAAGGCTAAAGTAGGATAAAGGCTCAAACCTGTGGCTAATCAAGACAAGGTACTTATGTTTTAGCCAATAACATAAGCAACAACATAACTCATAACAAAGTTGTGCATGGTCACATTGCAGCCCATATATTACCCTCAGTCATTAACGCTTGCCCATTGCATTGGTTATTTTAAAAAGATCATGATCTAATCAAATCATTTTCCTATACTGCTGTGGGGGATTTCCACCATTCTCATATTTTAAATCTGCCACCAAGTTAATGAGCCATAAGTCAATTAACTACTTTTAGTTTACAAGACAGAGGTTTTGAATGCTGGGGATGGGTATAATCCTCTCTGAAATCTGCCTCTGAAAATCCGTCCTGTGGTTTGCTGAGGGTGACATTTTGTCACGGACGAGATGAACTATATTTGCATCTGTGGTGTATATAAAGTTCTCAGTGTTCATCAATGTTAAATTACTTTCTCCTATTCCACTTTTAGAGACAACTACACTGAAAAAAATGTTTCATTCATCCAGTTAAAAACATTTAGGGTAATGATTCAGATCTATATTTTTTAACTTGAGCCAATGAAAAATAAATAACTTGCCCCAAGGGTGTTATGAATGAAACATTTTTTTCAGTGTACAAGCTTATTTTGACTTTTTGACAAAAAGTGTCCATGAAATGCTGATGACACTCACCATGTTGAAGTGACTCCTAAAGCTCCAAAAAGCAGGCATGATGTGACATGGAGACATAAGAAACTAAATCTTGCTCTCAGACTTGGCTAAAAGGAGGGGTGGGGGGTTAAATGACACAGCTGGAGAACAACAATGAACAAACAGCCCAGTGCCAGATCACATGACAAAACAAAGCACAGATACAAAAGGGCTGATTCTAGGAGCATCTATGTAGCACCACATTAACCTAAGAAGATATACACAAACATCAAATACAAATAAGGGCATGTTACATTAAAGGGGTCATATGATGTTACTAAAAAGAACATTATTTTGTGTATTTGGTGTAATGAAATTACATTTTCAATTACAAAATTACAATTGTTTCTCCTCTATGCCCCGCCTTTCTGAAACGCGTTGATTTTTACAAAGCTCATCGGTCTGAAAAGTGAGGTGTGCTCTGATTGGTCAGCTATCCAGTGCGTTGTGATTGGCCGAATACCTCAAGCGTGTGACAGAAATGTTACGCCCCTTACCATATTGTGATGCCTTGTCCCGGCACGACGAGACAAAAACATTAAAAGCCATTATAAACTAGGCATTTGTTGCATCCAGTGGGGACATAATTACGGATTATAATGACTTATACTGTCTTTTTACGCATTGCATCGCGCCTCATAAACATAAAACCATGTCTGCATTTGTGATCGGAGAAATTACAAACTACAAATGCTACTCTACACTGCTCAAAACTCGCATTTGAATCGTCAGTGGCAAATTCTTTAAATATAAAAACGTACTTACAATCTGTGAGTCAGAACAGTCGCCATGTAGTCTACTCTACCAGGATCAGGAAACAGTCTTCCATAAAATGCGCTGGCCACATCGGAATATTTGGGTTGAACTGTTCTGGAACAGTGTTGTAAATACAACTTAACCACTGATTTCTAGTTGTGTCTTCTTTTGGAAGACCAAACAAAGTAGATTCGCTTTCACAATGAAACACAGCGTCACACACGGCGGGCTAGAGTGAGCGAAGGCCGGAGGTCTAGAGTGAGCAGAGGCCGGAGGCCTTGAGTGAGCAGAGGCTGGCGGCTAGAGTGGCCGGCGGGCTTGCGGGAAAACCACATTTGGCGACCCCGGTTGGACTCCGCTTCGTCCACGGTGAAAGCCGATAATTTAACAGCGTGAAGTTGATGTATTTACTCAGCGACCAGCACAGATCAGCTCTAGGCATGACGAAGCTAGAGTGAGCGAAGGCCGGAGGTCTAGAGTGAGCAGAGGCCGGAGGCCTTGAGTGAGCAGAGGCTGGCGGCTAGAGTGAGCAGTGGCCGGAGGCCTTGAGTGAGCAGAGGCTGGCGGCTAGAGTGGCCGGCGGGCTTGCGGGAAAACCACATTTGGCGACCCCGGTTGGACTCCGCTTCGTCCACGGTGAAAGCCGATAATTTAACAGCGTGAAGTTGATGTATTTACTCAGCGACCAGCACAGATCAGCTCTAGGCATGACGAAGCGGATATCGTCCTCTTTTGGAAGGCCAAACAAAGTAGTTTTGCTTTCACAATGAAATACACGACCTTCACGACATTGCGGCAGCGGCAACAACAATACTACAGCGAGAATAAAAGTTACGCCTTCTTTCTTTGCGTGAACATTTGGGCGGCGTTATGCGAATCTTCCCACATCGTGACGTAGACATGTGGGGGCGTGTTAGAACGAGCCGTTTTAGGTAGGCGTGGTTGACTCTAAACTTTTATAAAGAATATCTCTTTGGATTTGAGACTTTAGTCTTTGCAACTTTACAGATCTTCTTTATGCACCAAAAGCTTGTAACACTCCAAAGAGAAAGGAAAAATTTAAATCGCATCATATGAACCCTTTAAGAGGTGGAAGGGGAAATATTTGTAAAAAATTAACTTCTCTTCATCTATATGCAAAAATCTTGTTACTGGATGCAAATTTTAGTGTAGCATGTGACATGAGAAAAAAAACTATTGTGTCCCTTTGCATTAAACCACTCAAACTAATAATATGGATTGCATTTCTTTATGACCTTCGTTTTAAAGGTGTCATACAGTAGTTTTGGTTGAATGGGCTTTCAATAAAAGGACAGAAATCTCTCAGGTTTCATTAAAAATTATTTAATTTTGTATTCTGAAGATGAATGAAAGTGTTATGGGATTGGAACTACACGAGGGTCAGTAAATGGTAATGGAATTTTTCTTTTTGGGTGAATTAACCTAACTTAAGCTTAACTTAAGTTGACAGTAAGCAATTGAAAGTTGACAGTAGCAATTAACTTCCATAGTGGTTACCAACATTCTCTCATACCAACATGAAACTCATACAGGTTTGGAACAACTTGAGGATAAGTAAATGATGACGGAATTTTCATTTTTGGAAGAACTATCCCTTTAAGTATTCAGTCATTTTTAAAATGGTATTACAATGGGAAATTGAATTACTGCTTAATCTCAACAATAAAATAGTGCTATATATATAAAAAAAAATCCACCCCAGACCAAAATGGTCATTCATTTAAAAAGAGCAGCAAAAAACTGAAAAAATGTCTCACTCTGAAATTCTTGGGTCAGCAACCCAAAACATCAGCAGGACTTTTACATATCAACAATTTACATATCAACAAGCTCAGGTTTTGTCAGTCATACCAAGTAGGACAGTGTATACCATTCCTTAACATCAGAAGATAGGAGTCAAATGCATTAAAGTTTGGTTCTCAACCCGATCCTGAAGAAAGAAAAAAAGTACTCCAATACTGACCCAAACAGTATACTTTTAGAGAATGTGTTTAAAATCGACATCACTATATGTTGTCATTTAGGGCTGCACGATTATGACAAAAATCATAATTGTCAATTATTCCCTTGAAATTGTAATTATTAATTACGAAAGTAACAAATTACATTGAATGATATTTACACCATTGTTTGAAGCAACTGCATGCCATATTTTTATATGAAAATAAACAAGCTGAAAACACTCAAACTTTTATTGCTTTTCTATAGTATTAAGCCTCAAATGTCAACTATACATTGGATTGGTTTCTTCTTTAAATAAAAAAAGTAAAAATATGCATGATATTATTATGTTATACTAAAACTAAAATTAAAACAATGGAAAAACCCTTAAGATAACCTGTAGAAAGAAAAAAAAACACAAGCACTCAGAATAACATAAGTGGACTTTGAAAGATTGATTGCCATTTTGAACGATTACGTAATAGTGGCATCCATAATTGTAATCGCAATTAGAAATTTGATTAATTGTGCAGCCCTATTGTCACTTCTTTGACCCAAATATTCTTTAACCTCTGACATACTAATAGCAACCGTGAAAATAATTTACTCATTACTTTTTTTTTTTTTTTATTCTGACAGCTGCCTCAGGTCTTGTGGCCTCATGAGATAGGAAAATGTCCACTAGTTCCAAATTTCAGAATCTCAGCGAAAGCAGTCTGTCATCTGGTTATTGTTTGCCTTCTGTATCATAAAACTGCAGACTTGTATATCCTACTTATTTGGCATGTACTGCTTTTTGGATGTGAAGCAAGACCTGAAGAACTGAATAAATTTCCAAAATGTGTGTAGCTTGGGAGACCTCTAGGATCAAGTTTGGGAACCACTGCACTTTAAGCTTGTAAGCGCTGTACCTACTGCCATATGCAAAGAGGCGTTTTACATATAACTCTTAAAGGGGCAGCAGCAAAATTAAAAAATGGGTGGAAATGATCAAGAAAAACTAAACCGACTGTTCTGTAAGACACTATGTGACAAAATATGAGGTCTTAGGGAAAATTTTATGAAAATAAAAAAGTATGATATGACCCCACTTTCTAGGCTACATGATATACACACATACCATTCCCTATTGTGTGACATCATGTTAGACAATTACAACATACCACAGTTTGAAAAGCTTCCAAGAAGCTCTGTCTAGTCACTGAAGGTTGTTAACTACCAAAGGAAGTAATTATAGGAAATACACACAGAAAACTAAAAATATGCACAGACAGACATCTCCCTGCATGTTTACACACAGCGCTGATGCACTAGTCCCTCCCAAACCTCTCCTGGAGGCTACTAGACATTTTGTACTGTATGTCTTCCTCATCTTTCACATCCTTTTTTCCCTACATTCAATTTAATACAAATAATAATAATAATAATAAATGCTATTAAAGTTTTAAGATTTTACACTGTACATCTGTTAATGTACTTTTGTGCACTTATAAGGTCAATAACATTGACTGGATGAATACAGCTTGCAACAGGCACACAACCTATTTTAATAACTGCTTGTCCATCTGTTAAAAAGTCACCATGACTGTCTGCTCTGTAGTAGGTCTAAAAAATAAAAAAAAATCCCTAAAAAGCAAAAATCAATAATACACTCTCTTCTCTAATTAAGCCCCCATCCTAAAACCAAATATTATCATCCTGAAATTCAAGGTCCCATATTGTCAAAACTTAAATTTCCTGGCTTTTTTCAGGATAACTGAGGTCTAGGGGCTATTTTACTACCATATAAGTTTCAAAACAGTCAGTCTACAGTATGCACACAGCCTGCATAAAGTAGCTGAGATTTTTCACGAACCGTTGTGAGTTCCATAAAAAGTTGACATTAGAACTACACAGTCACCGCCTTCAGTCACCACCCCGAGCACCGCCCACCGTCCCACTCTCCTTTTGCCAAACCCCCAGAAAACATTGCGTCCATGCCATTGCTGAGCAACAACAACACGGAAACATGTCGAAAAGGTTAACTTTAACCACGAAACTAGATCGGTCGGCCTGTAACATTACACTCTCACGCAAAGAATGGACGATCTGACAGGATTGTTACTATGAGGTGGATCACATCTAACGTGTATAGTAAAGACAAACTCACCGTGTCTAAGAAATACCAAACACCATCCTATTGTTTATACTTACGCTGATTGTGTTTCATTGGTCTCATTGCTCAGAAAACCTGACACAGCCAATACAAATATAAGTACACCACCAGTCAAAGTTTTAGACTTCCTTGGTTGAATTGATGTTTCTTCT